TTTTGGTATCTGTAGTCCATAAAGAGCAGGTAAATAAATGTGTCTATAAGGTATGAATGAAATATCTCAGAATATTAAAAAATTCTGTGTCCATTAATCTCAGCAACAAAAAGATCCATTTGCATGTCCTGCTCCCTCAGACAGGAATCTGTAGAGTCCCTTTGCTTGGGAGGGTCATGTGAAAAGTTTGTAAATGGAAAAAGTACAAAGGAAGAGTGAGAAAATTGCTGAATATAGAGAAACACAGTTAAGGGTGGACCTACCCTCTGGTTCAGCTGTTAATTCATAAGCTTTTAATACATAGCTCCATTCAAGCCTCAGCAGTGTTCACAATCTTCAGTATTATTTATGACTCCTCATCAGAAGAGTATTACAGCAACCTCCTTTTGGGTGGCCAAAATGTTGATGATTGTTACAGTTGATGATTGATGCCAGGTTTGCATCTGGCAGAAAAAGTCATATGTGCCTTGACACGACCATAAAAATTATTTCTGGACTGAGTTGCTCCTGGAGAGTCCAGGTATACAGCTGGAATATGCTGAATGCTGTATTTCACCATGCTAGAAGAGTCAGCTATGCTTTCTCAAGGAGGAGTGCTGGTATAAATTCTGACAACTCTTCTGGCTGCCTTTCCTATTCAATTTCTCCTATCTGGCATGAGATGTGAGATCTCAGCCAAGGCTTAAACTCCCAAAGTGGTTTATCACTCATCATCCATGTCAGAAACGACAGTGATGTAGGAACTGAAAGTCATCAGTGAATTGGATACACCAAAGTCAACATCCCTTCATAATCTTTCATATAAATGTCTTCACACAAAAACTAAGCCAGAAACAATGGGATATGTTAATTGGGGAATACTAATTATATAGGTCCCAGTTAATCTCCTCTCCCAAATGAAAGACTGGAGCTGCAGACCATTATCACAGGTACTTTCCTAAGATTTCCTTATGTTTACAGAGAGTCACAGTAATTCTATGTGAGCTTCCAAACACAGGCACAATGCCACACACGATAATGGACGTATAAACTTGTGCTTAGTGAGATTGTTCTACCATCAGACACAGCATCTGGGCTGTGTCCAGCTGGGCAAGGGAGGGATTGTCCTGCTCAGCCTCACTGGGGGACACCCTCACCTTGTGTTCTGGGTGCAGTTTTGTGCACCACATTATTAAAAAGACATTAAAGTATTGGAGAGCATCCTGAGAAGGGCCACAAGGGTGGTGAAGGGTCTTGAGGGGAAGCCTCATCAGGGGCAGCTGAGGTCACTTTGTTCAGCCTGGAGGAGACTGAGAGGAGACCTCACTGTGATCTTCAACATCCTCATCAGGTGAAGGTCAAGTACTGATGCCTTCACTCTCATGACCAGTGACAGGACCCAAGGGAATGGCATGAACTTATATCATAGGGAGGTTTAAGTTAGATATTAGGAGAAGTTTTTTCATCCAGAGTGGCTGAGCACTGAAACAGGCTGCCCAGGGAAGTGGTCACAGCATCGAGCCTGCCAGATTTCAAGAAGTGAGTTCTTCAGGTGTTCTCTGCAGGACCAGGAGCTGAACTCAATGATCCTAATGGGTCCCTTCCAACTTAGAATACTCTATGATTCCTTGATTATTCTCTTTTTCATTATCTACAAAGTTCCTTACGATTTCTATGTACATATCTATATCTGGTTGAAAATGTAGAAAATGAAAGCAAGAAAGGGAATTCCAAGTAGAACCATTCTGCAAGCAGCTACACAGAGCCACATCAAATTAAGATTACAGTTGGTATCTGTAATTTAGATGCTTCTTAGCCTCTAATAAGCTGTCTTGCAGCAAGCATTTTTATATGAAGACGGGGGAATGTTGTTTGCAATTTTTAAGGTTCTTTGAAAAGGCAGCAAAATCCTCTCCTCTATTCCTATATGTGGAATCTTATTGATTGCATGGACCATTAGCAGGGCTAACATTTCTACACAGAGAATGTAAGACTGGACAGTCACCTTCTGAGTGGGACAGCTTTCTAAGGGATCATGAGAGGCAGTCTGAAAGTGGATTTCACAGATACTTTTTACATGAAGACAGAGCAAGTCTCAGCAACTAGGTGTAATTTCAAGTCTTTATGGCCACAGATCATGTGCACCAATTTACAAGGCTTTCCTTTCTTGTTTTTCTTTTCTCCCTTGACACATTCGTGACCTTTTTTGCTTTATTCCCTGTAATCCTTTCTTATCACAAAGCTTTTCTTATCAAAAGCTTCTTTTTCCTGTCTGTCTGCATGGGAAGTCCCATACTCAAACATTATTCATCATAACACTAAACTTTCTGTTCTCATCCACAGTCTCCCGTTTCTCCTTTTTCTTCCAATTTCATTATTCTTTTCTTCTGTGTACGTGATCCTGGCTCTACACCTAGCCTCACCAAATTAGTTCTGGATCTAGTGAATCTGGTATCCACCCACTTTTTTCATCACCTAGGGTTCTTGTTTCAATCTTTCCTTTCCTCCAACCAGTTCTCACAAACTGCCATTCCCAATCCTCTCCTGAGGCTGCTCAGTCATCTCTCTGTACATCTCTCTTCATCCAGACTGATTTCTCATCTGCTCTGCTTTCTTTTGTAACAGGCCTTTTATTCCTATGGTGTCTAAAGGTGACCTATGTCCTTGCACTCACCCTTCTTTATGGCTTTTCAAGTGGACAGCAGAAGTTTCTTTATTCTTGTCTTTGTCTGTTCTGATATTGCCAGTCTTACCAGTTTTTCATACAGCCCATTCCTTCTTACTGATTTTAGATTATGGTCTCCTTATCCAACAAGTTTTTCCTTTTATTTTCCTTTAACAAAATGTACCAGCTCCCATGCTTTTCCAGCTTAAGCTCTTGGTCCTCCCAGGACATATATCTGAGATCTTGGTCTTTTCTCACCTGGACTGAAGAGAGACGGTTTCTTGCTCTCTAAGGACCTGGCAGTGTGTGGGCACAGGAGGCACCAGTCACAAGCCTTGCTGCAATTTTTAAAAGCATCTGCAAGGAAATCCTGGGTTGGTAAGAATGCAAAGGCATAAATTACTCTGTGGAGATAATGCAGTTGGCCTGCAAAAGGTAGCACATGCTCAGGACAGACAGAAATTTTGAGGAATTTATCTGCCAAACACTACCATATTACTAAAGAATAGGGTTTAAAACTCGGCCAAATATGGGCAAGTGCTTATGTGTCTGGCACCGGGGCTCCCCAGCCTGCCAACCTCCAAGTCAAAGCATGGAGGAGCTAGCATTTCCAAAAAGGAATTCTTACAACCAATTCATTAACATTGGCAAAACAATGTCTTTTTTTCATAATCTTTTTTCTGGGAAACAGTATAACCATTTTTGCTGAAACTTTCCAAAAAAAATTGAAACATAGGCAGACACCCAGCATAAAAATTCACAAAGTTATAAATAACCAGAATAGGAATTTGTAATTAAAAGCATTGAACAAATTTGCAGTATTGGGTAGCATAGTATGGATAACAGCTATTTTTACTACTGTAGCCCCAAAAATGCTGCTCAGGGACCACAGCTAAAATGCATGCAAACATGGAACAGGGATATGTTTGCAATATTGTGTTTCCAAAGAGTTTATAACCCAAATTTTAGACAACAGAACACAAATAGATCCAGAAACATGGAGAATGCAGGAAAACAATAGGAAAATCCTATTCAGTGTGACTGGCAAATCATCCCAAGGTACCATCAGTCTACATATTTCCCACTTACTATTTGGAAAAATCAGAGCCTTTAAAGAAAGTGAGCTTTGATCAGAGGACAATGAGGTAGCTCTGCAGACACTTAGGCGTGGGGTCAGGATAGGAAGAAGTACTGAGGAATTTAAATGACAGTAATTAGTCATGCTGTGGACCTGGGACAATGACGTCCAGCAGTAAGAAAGATCCGGTAGACAGAGGGACAGGGGACTGGAAAACAAGCTAGTCAAGGATGGCACCCAAGGAGTCATCTTAATTATTGGAATTTCCACATGTGAAAATTGGAATATGAGCATCCCTGTTACCAGAGGGGACTTTACAACTGAGGACTATTATTTCTCTTTCACTTTCTTGAAGGAACTGTCTGCTTCACTCTTGTGTGCATTGGAAGGATCCTGAAAAATCCTATTTCTTTGTCCCCCCAAGGGAGATTGGTTGGAGGTAAAATAAAATCCATCTATAGCTCCAGTTAAAGTGGGAGTTTTGGGGATAGATGTGACGTTATCGGCTTGACTCCGAAGCCTGAAACTCTCCACCATCCTAAGCGATGCGGGGCTGTCGCAGAGCCCGGGGCTCAGGGCGCTCAGCTCGGCCCCTCGCGGCGGGGGCCGGATGTTTCACCGGCCGACACCGTGCGAGCGGCCGCGGCCCTCGGGCCAACGGGAGCACCCCGGACACCGGCAGGCAGCAATGGGGAAAACGAAGGGAGCGCGGGGAGGATCCTGGGGGACGGGACCGAGGGGAGCGCGGTGAGGATCCTGTGGGAGGGGAGCGGTGAGGATCGTGAGGGAGGGAGCGCGGCTGAGGCGGGAGCGCGCGGCGCGAGCGCCATCTGCTGGGCGGGGGCGGCGCGCGGGGCTCTGCGCTGCCACCGCCCTGCGACACGTGCCCGACACCGCCCTGTGACACGTGACTGACACCGCCCTGCGACACGTGCCCGACACCGCCCTGTGACACGTGCCTGACACCGCCCTGCGACACGTGCCCGACACCGCCCTGTGACACGTGCCCGACACCGCCCCATAATGTGTGCCTAGGACATTATTGGAATAATGGTGCACATTTGTGGGACTTGCACTCTTTGTACTAGATTGATTTCAGACTAAACTAAAGTTGCACCAAAAAAACACAAAAAACCAAAAAAACCCCCCCCCAAAAACCAAAAAGGGAAAGGAAAAGTTTGCAAGTGGTCAAATATCCCACTGAGATTTTAAAGACTTACCAATGATTAACTGCTTTCTTAAAACCATTTAACTGCTCACTTCTGAAAGCTTACCCTTCAGATCCTTCTCCATACAGAAGATAGGTACCCAAACATCCATTTGCAATCCTCTTTTATTAATGTTTCTTGACGCACCTTTTGGAAAATGTATGAATGGTGGTTTCAGACCATTTGTAATGATTGTACTCTTCAGCAGCATCCCTGGATGCATCCTTCCACCGTACTTTGAGACAAAATTATGTTGAAAATCACTTGTAAACAAGACAGCAGAGATGAAACTGAGACCTTGAGACAAAGGATAAAAACTGGTGCTCACCTTGGGGGACATTCCTTCCCAATAACAGAAATTAAAGCTGGCCAGTAAAAGCTTGTGTTTTTCTCTTTTACTCCACTTTTTGTTCTGTTTTAAATAACGAGGTAGCCATTATTGCTACAGCTAACACAGTAAGGGGTTAGGGTTGGCAGAGTATGAGCACTGTCACTAACTGCTTGCTCTGGATCTGCCCTTTTCCAGCTTCAGTAATGCAGTTTGAGCTGCCTACACTCTGGGTCCTAGCAGTAATATCCCTACCTTCAGTGCATCTGCACACCTAGAAATATGAAAGTGGGAAACCTTTCAAATGGATGTAAAAAGATTGAAACCACAAGGTTACTCTCCTCTTTCAAAACACATCCTTCTGAAGTCTTACATGGAAGGCATCATCCAAATCATAAATAGGGTGAATTAACCTAGACTTTGTCCTTGGAGAGAACCAGATCAATTATTTCTTGTTAGGAATAGAATGTTTTCTTACATTTGTCCAGTTGCTCCGTGGCTTTGTCAACTTTGCTGCATTTAGCTCAAGGCTATGGGCATAGGCTATGGGCATAGGTGAGTGTAGGGGCAGCAATGCACTGCTTCAGTTGAGTGCACTCCCACCTCCTAACTAGGTCAAGGAGACTCTCTACAGCTACTTGTAAAGCCAGTTTTGAAGATAAAACCCTACTGTACTTAGGAGAGTAAATAAACTGCCACTAATCTCTATGAGACTGTGTCTCCTCAACACTGGTGCAATCAACTAATTCAAATTTCTTCATTGCTGAGAACATTTTAATATCGTCCTGTAGGGAGAAGGATATTTCTGTTCTACATCCTGATTGCACTTCTCCTTAAGAAATAAGTGATCTGTCTCTTCCTTCTCTTCCCCTTTCTTCTCTTTTCTGTGTGTGTTGAGGTAGTCTACCAAGTTGATTGTGAATTGCTATAAATAGTAATGTTCAAGGAACCTTTCTAATGGTCTTGAGCCTGGTGCCCACAACTCCCTGTATGCACACAGCACATACATTGACTCAGGGAGATTAGTCTAAACTGGATGTAGTGCATCTTTCCACATTTTTTGATAATAGAAGACCACAAGCTATTGTGGACCATGCCTGGAGATGACAGGGATGGCTTTGGGTGGTAACTCCTACCAGGGCAAGGAGTGATCTGGGAGGAAGGAGCCATCCTGATGCTCAATGCTCTGCATTTTTGACTACTTGGAAGCATTAAGCAGCTTGTCCATAATTGAAGGATTTACTAAGATAGGTCTGTGATAGAGTGACTGCAAGGCTGAGATGCAGCAGCACTTTTTCTTTCTTCTATCATTTATATTAACTCCCAGAGGAAAATCAGTTGTGCTAATTAGAACTTGTAAGTCTAAATGCCAATATGTTACTGCAAGGTACAGAGGAAAAAGCTCTTCAGGAATGATTTCTTTCCTGTACAGAACATGCAGCAAAACATTTATGTAAACGGTTAGTCTGAAGCCAGTGGAAAGGAAGGAAACAACCATTTAAAAATATATTTGGTAACATTTAGCTGTTGCAGAATGAATTTTAGACATTGCCTCTTCTTGAATAAACACTTGTTATTTGTTAATTTCAAAACATCCTGCAGTACATCTGAGTCTTGTTGTTCATATCAATGGAGAAGGGAAAGCAAAAGAAGAAGGTAAAAGACATTTTTACTAATTCTAATGCTAAAGGTTAGACATTCAAGAACATAGAGATTTGCTTTTTTCTTTTATTTCCCTGAACTCTTACCTTTCCATGCAACTGAGATATAAAATAAATTACTTAAGAATAGTGAGATAAAAATAATTTCCAGTAAACTGCATTTTCATTAAGTGGTTGGTTAGATATTGATGTTTAAACAACTGTAGAAAGAAAATCAATAATGAATGCAGCAGTTTTGAGCAAAGTCTTTAAAAATAGCATTTCTTTTAATGTCCATGGTGAAGGAAAAAAAAATCAGTGATATTATTACCTGTCTGAAATAGCCAACCTATAGCTAATTTCTTTCATTTGATTAAATATGATCTTGAACAAGTTATTTTTACTTTATTTGACATGACATAGCTTTAAATCAGTATTTATAGAGTGTGACAGCCAAGAATTGGAGGTACTGATTAAAACCAGCAGCAACTAAGGCCCAGGAAACAGGGTGAACTATAAAGTGCACATACTCCCAAAAGCTGTACAACACATTATCCTTCTTTTCTTTGGAAAGAAACTGAGACCTGCAGATTATTTGTGACATTTTAATGCAAGGACTCATGCAACTAGTACAAATGTTCCCTTAGTGTTATGAAAATTGTCATATAGCTTTCTTGAAACACGCCTGACATCCATGAGTCTGTTCCTCGTGCCCACCCTTCACTGCCCACTGAATCCAGGCTCTCAACTGTGTTAGTCTTAGCCATTAATTTTCTCCAGTCAAGCATACAAAACCCACTGACCCCAGCCTGGATATGCTTTAACTCAAGATAGATTTAACACAGGGAAGAACCTGCTAATATAGTTATAGAGACTGGGAAAATCCTAGTGTGTCTCAACAGATAACAGAGAATGCAAAGCCAGCCAGGTCATAGTAATATATGCTGTACTTTGTGGTCCATTCTAATCTGGGTTAACCTAGATTCTCAAAATTAGGTATCTGTCATACAAGCAAGAGCTAATACTCGCTCTCATCTTCTGAAAATCATGCATTGTTCAACACTGCAAGAAAGGGCTATGTTAGGAGATTTGATTCTCAAGAAAAACACAGGTTTGAAGTCTGTATATATTTGTAGCTATGACCTAACAAACCTATAACTTGCCAGATAGAAGTTTGTAATAACAATTTGGGCCCTAGCAAAGTGGTAACTTCCAGTTGAAACTATTTAGTAACAAATATTTTCTTGGCAAAATCAAAGCATTTTATGGTAAAAATAACAACTTCATGAAAAATAGAATTGTTTTTCTACTGAGCAGAAATGAAAATGGAGTATTTGGTTTCAGGTTTTCTTGGATAAAATTGTTTTGTTAACCAACAGCATGTTCCAGCATCCATACCCAGGACTCACAGCTGCCGACGTGCAAGCAGCAGTTCTGGTCATGCATGCCAGAACTCTGTCCCAGAGCAGAAGGGAGGTGTTTGATTCCACAGAGGAAGCACAGTGTTGAACATGATGTTCTCATTGTTGTTCCTGTTGTCTAGCTTGTGGTCTCTCAACCTCCTTCCTCCTCTATCCCATGCTGTCAATCCTATTCTGGGATTTTGGGCTCTTCCCAGCCTAAGTGCTCAAGCAACGCCCTTGGGTTTCTGAATTCCTCCCAGTGAATGGGGCTTTCCTTGCCAGTTTGCATCCAAATTCCCTGATCTTTCCATTCTGTTTACTTACCCCAGGTTTTAATCTAACATTTTTTTCTCTTGCTCAATTTCCTGCTTGCACTTCTCCTCTTTCCTTGGCTGGTGCTCTATTCAGTGCTTTCTGGGCATAGTTATTTCCTCATTCTGTTGACTAATTCTGCACCCATCTTTGTGCCATTGGAGAGCTTCACCCTGTGTATGCACATGCCTTCTTCCAGGTCATCACTCACACTGGAGGCAGTCTAGCTGGCAATACTAATCCTGGGTAACTAAAGCTGGGATTCAGTCTGTCAGAACTTACAGGACAGAAGACTTAAAGAGAGAGCTGACAGCAGGAAAGGGAAAGACTGGAGATCAAAATATCTCTTGAAAATACAGAGGAGAAAAAGATGGAAAAACAGTAGTGAGAGAATAATCAGTTTCAAATTGACTTTGAAACAATGGCATGAAAATCTAAAGTAAAAAAGAATACTTCCAAAATGACAAGACATTTTCTACTGGGGAGCCTGTTAGTCTTTAGGATGTACACCCCTTTAATTGGCTTGAGAGTCCCTGTCTTAGGAAGATATTAGAGATTTCTGAAGGTCTTTTTGTGCTCACATAAAGTCATTGTTGCCAAAATAATATCTTATATACACAACTACTGTCAGCACAAGAATGTTCAGCCTGCAGCAAATGTGTAAAATTTAATCTAGTTTAACCCTTTGCACCGAGGCTGACCTAATTCCAGTGGCTATGCATTTGTGGTGGGTTAAAATGCACACACAGCTGCTGTAATGAAGATGACATGGAGTGCATCAAAAAATGATTTACCATTTCCATGGATGTGTTTCAGAGAGTCTATAGGCACTTTGTCCAGGACTTCTAGACTCAATGGTAACTTTTTCCTTCATGTGATTGGTCCTCAGGATCAGTCCTGCAATGACAAAAGAGGCCACTTTCTGTCTAATTATCCCCTTGCCAAAATACTTAATATCTTCTCATTGCAAATGTGAAATCACTGGGATGGGAGACTGCTTCCAGTGCTAAGGTGATTGATATCACTAAATGACTTCTGCACGCTTGCACTCTGCCAGCACTGTGCTGTCAATACAGGTCAATAACAGACTTATCACAAAATAAATAAATTATATGTGCCTGTGGTAAGCTGCAGCTCCAGTCTAGGTGGAGAAAGTAATTACAGAGGAAGACAATTTCTCTTTTAGATGCTTTTTAAGTGCGCAAAGGATAAGTCAACTCTGGCACTGCTGATTTAGCAGGAATCTGGTGGACCTCAGTAGAGGAGAAATATTATCCCTCCTGTCTCTGGGTTGGTGGTAGAATTTTAACAAGGAGTTCCTAAGAGACCCCACAAAGCACATCACTGCATGTAATTCATTAGCTCAGCTGCACCTGAAGTCTTGGATTTTCTGGACAGGGTGTGCTTCTGCATGGTGACTACAAAAAATAGAGACCGGGCTCAAGCACAAATCTCCAGAGGAAGTCCAGATGGCTATTGTAAAAGTGCAATCAAAAAAAGCCTCTGGCCTTGATAATTTGTAGACTGATTTTAATAAGAATTATCAGAGCATTTTCTCTCCCAAATTGTGAGAGGATTTTTCAGTACGAAAATAACAATCTGTCACTCAATTAAAATTTGTTTATGCCACAAACCACAGGGAACTCGGATGGTGAAGGATAGAAAGGTTGCCACTGACAACCCAATTTGTAAATTTTATTATTTTGGATTGGTTTATTTTCTTGTCTTTTCTCTAACATCTTTTAAAATATTTGACTAAGTGTTACAATAGTTGTGGGAAGGTTGGAGGAAGAAAAAGTTTAACTAAATTTGAGGAAGTCAGGGTCTGAGCAATTAACACTTCAGTCCTGGTTGGCCAAAGATACTGTTTCAAAAATCTTAGCAGGTGCAAAGTGATACTGCATGGGGAGGTGGTACAAGCCTTTGTTGCAATATTACAGCGTCTGAACACTTCCTAATGAGCACAGGGGTAAAATTTGGAGGATATCAACTAATAAGTGTTGGCATATCTTTTGAGAAAAAGTTGCACAAGAGATTATTTTCTAGTGTTTGTGCACACTGTGGCCAGCAAGAAGACTCTTAACCAAAATAAAATTATTAATAATTAATGCCTTATCTTTCACAATGTATAATTAAACTGTGACACTCATTTTTACAAAATATTGAGATCAAGAGTTCAATGGCATTAAAATAAAGATTATATCTTACAAGGATAATACTAAATCAAATGGGGTGGAAAAAAAAATCAGGTAATACACAACGTCCCTGCTGAAGACACAGACATCTCCTAATTAATAATAAGAAAAATATTCCTCTTGGTAGGTTATCCTGTAAGTGCTCACCACGGAGATTCCTGATGTCCCGCCCCTCTGCCAAGAACAAACTCCCTGAGACAATGACCACACCAGCAAACCACCAGTGCATGCCCAGTGAAAGGACTTCATCTAAAGAAGGGCCCATCAAAATTATCGTGACTTTAAGGAAAGAACACTGTCTCAAGCATGACCAGGAAATTACCTTCAGTTCTTGTATTGCCTGTTTTGTCTGAAAAATTAAAATTTTATTCTAAAAAGGACCAAACAAGATGGGTAACCACTGGTAGGGCATGGGATAAACAGTGCAAGGGATCTTGCCTCTACAAGAGGGCTAGCACAGAAAGAGAGACAGAGTACTCACATCTCTGAAGTGTTAATTCACACACACACACAGACAAATTCTTCTTTAGCTTCTTCCACTGTCACCTGTAAGAAATTTGAGGTCATCTGAAAAGGCAGTGTTCTGCTTCAGATTGTCATAAAATATTCTTTCTATGGGAACAAAAATTTAAGCTATTATCAGTGAAATTTTGTATAGAGAAAGCATTGTGCAAAGGTGGACTCCCACAAAGAATGGCAAAGGGAGGAGAGAACAGTCACAGTATATAAAATTGTGCTTTTGTTGAAAGCATCTTCTGAAAACCAAAATAGCTGACCAAAACATAATTTACTCAGGCATAAAAAAATTAAACAAAATTTAAAATGGAAAATTCCAGTGAAATATTTCCTTTAGCTCTGTGCACAGTTATGCTGCCATGTAGCAGAACTAGTAATGAAGAGTACAAACAAAAGAACATCGAATCAGTCTGTGAGACCTGGTCTCATATGCTACTCTTGATCCATTGACTTCTCACATGAATACAACTCCTCCCTGATGTCCAGGATCCTATCATGCCTCTAATTTACTTGGACTCCAGTTTCATATTTCCCCTATGATAACAGCATTACATTAAATCCCAGGGATTGCAGTTTCAGCACAAGGCTCACTGTGGAGCTGCCTGGGAGATGAAATTGTGACAAGCAGTGCAGGAAGCTTCACTGAAGGATGAGACACTCCACCTGAGAAAAAAGCAAGGCCAGCAGCTACAGCTCAGAGGAGGACATTCAATGGGCCACATCACATCATAGGTGAGGGTGTTAAATTGGTTGGTAAATGGGTTAAGAGAGAAATTCCCCCCTCCCATCCAGCACAGCCAAGGGGGAAGAATGAAGCAGCTGCCTACCAAAGACTGCTTTTCTCTGAAGCCTTCAGCACTGCCCATGAGAAAGGCAGGAGTGTGGGCTTGCTGCAGTGTCAAGTGCCATCCAGTCCCAACTTCAGAGGACACATCTGCCTCTTCAGGATGTGCAGGCTTTGGGTCACATCCACCAGCTCCATGCAGATATCTCAGATGCTTCACTGAAGACCTCTTGAAATGGGGTGCCTGATGTTCAGGGACCCAGATTGAGCCCTGAGCTCCATTGATTGAAATAGGAGCTCAGACACCTAAATTTAGATGCAAATGTCATTTTCTAGAGATGCAGCTGGATCCTGTAATGTGTTATCTGTGGCTGAGTGTTAACTGCTCTGTGATTAGAGGATATATGATGGTAACATAGTAAAGCCTTGCAAACCAGAGTGCAGGATCTCAAATGTCTTCACATTTTTCTGAGGTAGAACTGTAAACATTTGGTCTTTAAATGAGATTCTGGAAAAAGAAATTACAGTGCTGCTAAATATATCCTTTTAATCTTATCCTGTGAATCTCAGAAGACCTGAGTTGGCAGTGTTTTCTCAGTCAGAATTTCCTCTGCTGCTCATGGGATGATGTACTGTGGCTGCAAGTACCACTGTGGGCAGAGTGGGAAGGAGAGGTGAGCTCTTCCCATAGGCATGGAGCAAACCCAGTGAGCATGACATTCCATCCATGCAATGATCTGGGCCTCTGTGCCCCCTTTGGTCAAGGGGAATCTACTCTCACCTTACCATGCTGCAGAGCCAAAATTTTTCTGCATCCTCTTCTCAAGTTAATGGAGCACAAGGAACTGGATTACATTCACCTCTGTGCTCATACAAGGGAGGAGGAAAGACTCACTTCCTTCTTCCTGGCTGCACAGGTCCAATGACATCCTCGCCCTGGGGTGCTGTCTTGGCTTGAGTAAACCCTGAATAAACATGGACAGATCTGACTCAAACTATGACTACTTAAAACATTTTAAAAGGTTAAAAAGCAGTCTGAAAATCCTACATCAAAGACATAAGGCTATACATATGCAATAATGCAGAATGTTTAATTTTCAGATGGATTTGCTCCATTCTGTTTAAATTCTGTGACCTTCAGGGAATCAAGTTAGTTCTAGCTTTTAGTTTATAGATTTTGTGTTTGGTATTCAAGGTTAACTTCTTGCTTGATTAGACACAGGCAAATTCTAGCAGCTGCAGTACCACAGTGGAAATGTAGCCCTATACTGTATTTAGTCAGAAATGTCAAGAACCTAGTAGTTATCTACAAAGAACTCATTTTGTCTTCCATTAGCAGCATTAAAGTAAATTTAGTACTGGGTTTTTTTCATGTTGCACAACATAAAAAATGTCATAAAGTGGAACACATGAGATGACTTTAAGATGACCATTCCTATTTACACAAGGAGTACCATTCTGTTGTTTATTCATTATTACTATGAGTACAAAAACAACAAATGAAAGTTCAAGCAATTTGGAAAAATATTTGCCAGCTAAAGGAGCCATGCAAACCATCCTAGTAACACTGTAAATGGATGCTAAAAAATCCAGAAGGTTGGACAAAATGAAAGTCATATTATGTGACACACAAAAACAAAAGAAAGTAATCCAAATACACAGCAGCAACTCAGGTTCAGAAAAACCAGCGGTGTTGTGTTTGCCCTTGATTAGTTGCTTAAGATGCACTGGTGCTGGCAGAAGCTGCCTGTCCAGACAGCTGCCTGTGCCTGCACAGAGTCCTCTAGGGACACGGTACATGTCCTTTGGCCACCTAATATCTGCCATGGTTTGTGAGACACCTTTTGCTGTGTCAGACACAAGTCTGCACCTCCTGAGATGATGAGGTGCTCCAGATGAGACCAGCTGTACCTCAATCTGGCTGCTCCCAGGGGCTGCCAAAGCTTAAGGCAGTCTCAGGCCCAGCTTAAGGAAGTAAATGCTCAAGACTGTTTTCAGGCTGCTTCAGATCTCATTTGCCTTGGTGGCAGAGTGTGACAGGGCTCTCTCTTCTAGGAGGGGGCCACTGCTGTGTGTGCTGATGGGCAGTGGCATGAAGCCAGGCCAGAAGAAGTGGGTGTAGGTGTCAGGCCAGGCAGTGAGTGCCACCTGTGGGCTAGGGGGCAGCCCTTGAATATGGTCTAGTATTGCTCTGGCAGGTATCATTGTCTTGCCCCAGAGACATTTCCCAAGGCCTTGCCTATGAATGGGTCTCCACTGTATAGCATGGAGCATGCCAGCACTTCCAGGGAAATATCACTGTTATACAGCTGTTTCATGCTCCCAGCTCCAGCGTGAGCATCAGCTTCAAGTCAGACCTTTGCCCTACAATGTTTGGTTTACAAATATTACTGACTTTATATCTGAGTGAAGAGAGACAAATTTAGTTTGCAGTCGAAGTAAACACCTTTGAAATGACCTTGGCTAGTACATGGCTGTTATGCATCAGTTTGAAGTGAGCTTGACAAGAAAATACACATTGGCTGCTTCTTTTGATGCACAGTTCAAGTGAAGACTTGAGAGCTTGTTGACTGGGAACATTCAGATATGAATCAGGGAAAGAATGTTTTCACATGCAGCTTCCTCCTCCACCTTTTCTTTACTTACTTTAATATGATTTCCAGATATTACCCCAAGACATTGGCAATAATAGTTGCTACATGGCAAAGAAACCCTATTTAGAGTTTTTACAAGCCATTCTAGACTCATATTCAAAAGGTATTTTGATGCTACAGGAATATGACTATTTTTCTTAACTTACTAAGTCAGGATTCCACCAGCTTTTTTATTTTTAGGAATTGCTAGTGCAAACTAGAATAAAGAAATATAGTTTAATGCCTTGGTATTTGAAGAGATCTGTTCTTGCAGCATTGCTACTAAGGTATATAGTGTGCTGAAATTTCAACAAGATAGATAAAAAGTACTCTTTGTAGGGAAGGTCCTAAAATTGTCATCAAAATTTCAATAGCCCTCATAGCTGTCTGTGTGGGCATGCAAGGGATCTTGAGACTCACTTTGTTTTTTGAGGAAGATAAGGAAGGAAAACGTTGTGTAGAACTCCACTGTGTTGTGGCTGTCCAGAAAATATCTGTAGCTCAAAATTTTCTGCAAGTGTCAGGGGGACTGAATAATGTGCTTTTGATACCATATCTGAAACTGTCCTGTACCCATTGGAGGTGGTCATCAGTGGGGTTGGGTAGGCAGTAGGCTTTGGGATGTGAAGTACATGGCCCTCCTAAGACTTGTTCTGCCACTGTCTGTGGACACACCCGGGCAACTGTTCCCTTCTCCTTGTATTACTTTGTCCAACAATGCCCTTCCCATCACTAAAGATATGAGTATCTCTCAACTGTGGTGACTGAGGGATTTCTTCCCATTCTGGGGACTTAAGATCTGCTAGATCAGACCCACCCTTGCAAGCACCCAAGGAGCACAGGCTGCTCCAGAGCAGATTGTAGAGCAAATATAACCTGGTTATGCTGTACCCTGGAAAAGGTTAACTTAGTGCTGCTTCTGGGCTACTGCAACCAGCATTGTCCTCCTCACAAAGCCAAGGAAAGCTGAACCTGCCTGTATTAAATCACTGTGCTGCTCTTGGTGGTGGGCTCAGCTTGTGCTCTGTTGAAAGCTGACAGCATGGTGGGGCCCTGACTGGGAGGGAGTGTTTGGAAAAACTCCTGTAGGGCTGGCTGGGCCTCATGGCACTACATTTGCTGAGCAAAACATACAGTTCTGCTGCTGAATTGCAGCAGGAAGTAGTCCTCTAGAGCACCATGAAAATCCAGAAGAAGAAACACACCAAAACCCCATGTGATGTGGAGGCTTCTCCCACTGGGCCATATTTATAATTCCCTGTGGAAGGACCATCTCCCCATCATGGAGGGTTGGCTTCTCCTCTGGGCAGCTGTCATGCACAAAGAACAGCCACCTTCCTCCTGCCTGCCCATGGCTCCCTTCTGAAAGCAGTATCATACACAATAGTTTGCAAGCAAATAAATCAAATCATTCTTTCATTGTAATCTGTGACAACTGTGTTGAACATGACAGTATTGCAGGTAAAGCAAAGCAGCAGCTTCCTGTCTTAGAGTTGTCTTAAATGATGGACAGGTGCTTTTAAACAGCATCAGCTCATGCCACCATTCAAAACTGAGGGACACTCAAAATAGGAACATGTGTGTTGGTGATCCTGAAGAAGAAATAGCTGAGT